ATCTGTTAGAGAAGGTTCACATATATTTCCGTGTGGTCTACATGTAGGGAACGTAGATTACTTTTAAGACTGGATGTTGATTTGTACGTTCCTGCAGGATATGATTTAACACATACATTTGGTATTTACAAATGTATTTTAAATTGCGGCTATGGTCTAGCAAATCAAATAATGACTAAAGTTGGTGAAACAACATAAGCATCAAAAGGAAGTTGGGAAGCGCGATGAATTACATGTAGGCCCTCGCTTGCCTGAATTGTCTCATTTTTGCTGAAAACATAATGCACCTCTTTAAGTGCGTAAATACTTTTAAGTTTAAGAATGAATAGAAGACATGCACTCAATGTATTTTAGTTTTTTTTTATCATTTGGCTATTTATTCACGCATTCTGTAAGCACTGCATTAGCAATAATAGTCCACTATCGGCACACCAAGTATAACCTGGTTTCCATTAAAAATTGAAAATGCCCTATTTGAAAAATCATTGAAGCGGAAGAAAATGCCAACTTGATCTATAACTCATATACCAAAACAAAAATCAGCTCAATATATGCGATTTTTATTTTTTAGAAAAAACAGAACAAAACAAAAAACACCGAACCCCCCTTTTTTTAATTTGTAAAGTGCGAAAAGCTAAGTGGAACAGACTGACAGATAGACAGAGGGACGGACGGACAACGGACAGACGATGAGGAAACCTATAGACCCCTCCGGCTTCATCGGTATGGGACTAATAATTACTATCTCGATAAAATATTTTGACTGGTAGTAATACGCTTGGTATTATTAAATACAATGTACATTGCAGAATGATTCTTTTAAATATACTTTAAAAATATAAATAGCTGCATTTTTTAATCGTACCGAATTCCAAAATCTGTTAATTTCAATTTTTTTTTTTTAAATTCAATTTAATGATATTACGGTACATTTTATTAATACTATAATTAGCACAATAACTTTAGTTGACAAAAATGTGTCAAACACCTGTCAATGACAGTTTGTGTTTCTCTATGTTTATCTATCTCTTGTCTATATATCTTTACATTTGCTTTTCTACATATGGGAAAATGTTATATATTGATTATTAAGTTTAAGTATAAACTGTCGATTAATTCATTTTTTGAAAATTCCTGTCTTTATTATTCATATACGTTTTATATGTTACATTCATCCTCTTTGGAAGAAGAGTTACAATTAAAACACGAGAAAAATCTTGCACCTTAAAACGCATTCAAATAAAATAAATATCATTAATTTTCTGTAAAGAAAAATATTGAAATTGGTTATTTGATGCCTTTATTCACATTTGTAATATTTCATTTATGATTTTGACGTTAAAGAAACTCCATTACCCCTTTTAAATATGACGCCTCCAAAAATCTTGGGAAGAGGGTATACTTAAATTTTTAATTATCACGTGACCAGAAAATGTGCAGTATAAATTTTTTTCATATTTTTAGGAAGATAACACTTTTATCTACAACATATCACAATTTCATTATATTTCTCGAGGGGCCGAAAAACAGCCTTATCGAAACTCCCCCTTTCCCTACAAGATCAATAGATCCCTGCCCAGCACCAGAACACTTAACCTACTGTTCCAAAATTTCGCAGATCTGGTAAAAATACCATTGCTCACTACAACTTTGTGCTCTGTTTGTCTCCCAGATGCCCAGGGGCAGAGAAGATTTTCAAAGCATTAACTATAAATGCATTAATATTTTCACTGCAGTAAAACTTGTTTAATCCGGACACCACTGGTTTCATAGAAAATGACTGGATAAGAAATAATATTCCGAATTAGACAACAATTTAAACATTACATTGTAATAAGCAAGATTTCAGAATGCACAACATCCGGATTAGACAAGTTTAACTGTATAATGAATTGAATAGAGTTCAGCCATAACATCAGAACCCCTGACCCAGGGGCATGAAATTCACAATTTTAGAAGAGGCACCTTGCTCATCATAACCATGCATTTAGTTGGTGTGCTTATACATAGGAGCAGAGAAGATTTTCAAAGAATTTATACATTTTCACTTTATGATCAAATGATCCCCCGTTAACACCAGAACCACTAACCCAGGGGCCACGAAATTCACAATTTTTGAAAAGGCACCCTCGCTCATTTTAATCATGCACTTTGTCTGCTGTATACATAAAAATCTTAGGGAGTTATAAAATTTCATTGCAAAACCTCAAAACGAACTAAAGTTATTATCTGGAAAACATTTTATGTATAAATATGTGAATTTCTGATCTACCGTACTTTTGATCTCTCGACCTCAAAATCCAAAGAGGTCTTCTTAAAGTCATAGAGAGTTATGATATAAAACTTAATCATGATAGCGAAACCTTAACTTTTTGAGATGTCATCTGGAAACAAGTGTTACAAACAGATAGAATAACAGATCTACACAGACTGATGGATGGACCGACAAACGGACCAAAATTAATATATAGGGGTTTAAAGAAATATTCATCTGTGAAAAGACCATAATAAAATGTTTATGTGAAATAACGTCTCTTAACTGTGTATAGGATATATGCAGACAATACATAATACACTACCTTCAACATTCCATTGATTTATGAATTCCATGGATAGAAAAACATATAAGACACGGTTGTGTAGTTTTTTTAACATTCAGACTTGCACGCATCATTAAATTGTATTTCCTTTTGGTGTTCCGTTAGAATGACATGTATATGTGATATTCTGCTGGGTAATTAATTTTAAAAATAATAAAGTTTAACGTCTCTGCTTAGTGCTAGTACACAATGCAGAAAATTTTCCATTAACTGTTCAATGAAACCAGGGATATTTTTTGGATGCCTGATCCGCATACGAATACATGTTTAATCTCTTTTTTCAATCCAATTCAATTCAACGACTGTAATATTCGACTATGAGAATTTCACTGGTTTGAAAACAAGTACTGTAATATAAAATAGATTGGGGGTGAGAAAAGGGGCCCTTTCTCATTTCCCAACCACTGGTCATCAATAAATTACTTTGATAGCATAGATCATCCTAGAAACAGGAACTTTGTAGATGTGTATAGTTTACAAGACTGGATGTATTTATCAAAGTATTGCATGCTCAAGATGAGTTAATTCCCACTGACCTAAGATATGATCTTGAATAAAGATCATGCTACAGTTAGGTCATTGACAACAACAAAACAGTCTGGAATTGGTCAAAACCTGGCCACGATTTCAGTCAGTTCAACTGAGTTAAAATCTTGATGTATCTTTAGGTCATAGGTTAGAGTTCGAATTCATTCTAGTAAAGGTTTTAAGTTGTGGCCAGGACATGTTCGCAATATTTTATAGTCTAGTGACATTGACCTTGATATAACATTTTAGAGATATCATATATGATTTCTGATTTCTGGACAAAAAAGGGGAACAAACAGGCAGACAGACAATTGCAATGACAGCAGAATAATATTATAACAACCATGTCGGAGGAGGGGAAAATCATTAAGAACTTTTTCATGAGTTTAGATTTTTAAAGGGTAATAATAGTCAAATACACATAATTTTTTTTCTTCCTCTTTTACTTTCTCCTTTAAATCAATATTGTTGTATAGGTATCAAATTAATTTAACACACAAGCAAACGGGTGATTATTAGTTAAATATCGATGTGTCATCGATCTTCAGAGTGCTTCATGAATTTGTGATGACAAAAAGACGATCACAAAGAATGCCATATATGTAAATGGCAGATTTATTTACTTGTATTTGTATATTCTATAATGATTAAACTCCCTGTTTTGTGCAAGATATTGACTTACTGATCTGTTCGAAACAATACATAATTTGTCCTCTGTCTACTTCGATTCTGTGTAGTATCAAATAACTACAATGATTTTAGTTTACTGATTATTTATTCTGGCTGAAATTAAAAAAAAAATATATAATTTTTTTAAAGGCATAAAAAATATGGTCGTTATATCTGTTCTGGGGTTTAAGCTGAAATTTTGATTTTCTTCATTGGGTATACTATTAACTATATACTCTGAGAGGCTTAATACGACTTTAAATGGTGTTTACCAAAATTCATAAGAAACTTAATCCTCATCACTTATGCATATGGCTGCCTATACACATTGTAACTATTTAAATATACTTTGCACGATACACCTTTATGCCCCTTAAGGCTTTGGCGTCTTTAAAGTCGACGACTCGTACAAACTAGATTTCTGCGAAAGTTGATATGCCGAAATTTCATGGACCATGGTGTATGAAAAAATGTCAACGCCATATAACTGATTCTTCTGCACTTCGTGGGTGACCACAGCGTGTTTCAATCTTTTCAACATTGGTTTACCACAACAAAAGTCTATGCTCTATGAGAGATGCACTGCGTGTAGCACAAAATCGAATATCCCTTAATGTTCGAAAAGAAGTATTCTTTTGTTAAGGAGGTACATTAAGTATCGGTCTAAATGGATATATGATCGTTATACCTTAATATTGGATGTGGTCGATTTGCAGAGTAAATAAAAGATTATGGATGCATGGGACCCCTTTAATACTGGTATCAATTGGTCCAAGTTTTACAGTACTGCATTATTATCTAAATACACCCCGTCAGGGAGGAGAAATCGACGTTCTGTTTCGTCCTAAATAACTTATTGAAAAGTGGATTGAAAGAGCTTTTGATTTTAAAGACATAACACACTGATTTATGTTAAAGTGACTGGGCTATAAACTTTTTTAATGAAAGTGCTGTGCTAAAATTTGAGTGAAACTTCAAAGTCTTTAATCGGATTTGTTGTGTAATACGGACCAAATACAAAATATTTTGTTGCAAGCTTATAATAAGATCAACGTCGATAGAATTCTACAAATCGCAAGAGGACGTTGTCCTATTTCCTCTACCAATTTATATATACGTATATGGGATGTTTAAATTATGATGGGGAAAATATGGAAATGCAGTTTATGTTATGTTCTGAATTAATTTGTGTTTCGTTTGTAAAACATCAACGACTCCATGTCGGCTAGACGACCGATGACGAGAGAAAAAACGACCCTACCCCAAATCGGCAGGGATGAGGTGCTGTTTACACCCACCCTGGTGTCCGAGCTGACTGAAATTTTCCCACTTATTGGGTTAAACAGAATTGATATCAGATTTAGTCAGAAAAAGATTGAAAGGACTGGACATCAATTTACCATTATTAAGAAACGGGTGGAACCAATCACGGACGACAGGCAAGTATTCCTCGAAAAGCGCGAATATGGCTTATATATTTTATTATAATTCTTTCTTAAACTGGAAAATACTGAATACTGTTTGTAGAAAATAGCAACGGTGACATTTTAAACAGCTTTGGGCCACAGTTTCTTTAAGCCCAAAAAGAAAAGAAAAAAAACCGCTGTGTAGATAACGGGAGAATACACATACACTCCGTAGTTCAGAATTTCGCAGGTGCACGAAAATCGAAAACCAGAGCTTTGAGGTTCTGTACACAGATTTTTTGACACGTTTAAAACCTGCACGTATTTGCTTTTCAGCAGAAAGTGAATGAATATGAGAGAGGTAAAGCTGTAGAACAAAAAACGATCAAATTACTTTAAGAAAATGTAAATTAAAACCTTATTGAATTGAAACCAGAGACTGGGTTTAATTCGGTGCAAGTTAAGCAGTGTATCCATATAGTTAGAAAAACTTTTTCCCGTTTAGTTGCATAGTTGTACAATATTAACATAAATACAAATAATTTATATTTCTAACATTTTTCACCGTTACTCAGTTAAAAAATGACTAATTCTATAGATATAGGAACAATCGAATAGAATAGATAGTATTTCCAAATTAGGGCCCCATGGGGCATGACACGTAACAATAATTCACGTAAAATAGATAAGTACAATATACATGTAACTAATTAGCTCGTGGTTCACTTTGTTTAATAAGAAATGGTATAATGACTAGATATAATGTAACTTAGAGAATCAACTCACTGTTCTGTTTGAATGATATAGTATGATGACAAGTTACACAAACTTGAAAAATTAATGTACAGAAAGTTAGTTAACATCATAAATTTTATAATTTAACACTTATGCAACATGGTGAATATAACATTACGATTGGAAAATCAATAAGTTAAATCAGTGGTGTGTAGTTTAAGTACAGAGACATGGTTACTAACAGATAGCAGGATGTACAAGGGACAAAGTCGTATTAATTATGCATATTTATAAAGATAATGACAAAGAAACATGTTAAAAATCAATAAATGATTGCTTACGCATAGATGTACCGAAGAAATTTTAAAAAAAAATTAAAAATTAAAAAAAAAAACATGAAGTAACAAGAGACGGTGCTAAAGGTCATTAATTGGTCCACTTGGAGCATTATTTCAATGTTATATATATGTTGTAAGTATAATAATAATATAATAAAGAAAATCATACACTGCTAAAGAAATACAAAATATTGTATGAGTTCATAGCTTGAGTAAGATACGAGATAATATATACGTGTATGGATTAACAGCAAAGAACAACAATAAGAGACAATGCTACAGGACATACCAAATCCACTCTTGTCTAGTTCAATTATTACATACATGTATACAACACAAATAAATATACAAAATCTTACTAGATGACACTCTTTGAAAAATCAAAAATCTTGAAAAAATTTATAAGATTATACACTTAAACCTCATGAGCTCAGCATCTGTCATAGTATGCAAAGAAAATCATAGTCTTCACAATTCAAAAGCCAAACAAATTTATTAGACAGTGTTAAATCATTAAATAATTGACAAGTGCTCTGTTACCTCTGTATTTTTAATAAGAGTAAATACCTGGTAGTGTTGTGAAAGATAAACCTTGTGATATATTCACTTTTCCTTTTTTTAAGTTAAGTTAAGGAGGCTGAGTGGTTAACAATTTACGCAACAGATCTACCTTAAAATACGAAATAGAATTGTTTTTAGCCAAAAACTATTATTTAGTAGAGAAAAAATCACCATGTTCAGGCTTTTTAAAAGGTTGAGACAGATTTCGTAAGATAAGCTGGGGGATTCCGTTAAAGATCCGGATGCGGTTGCAAAATTTTCAACCCCAGAAAATATGGCTGAAAGAGGCTGACCATTTTCCATGCAATTTCTTATTTACTTTACTTTAATATTTACTTCGTCATCAATTTAAATTTAGAGCACATCTGAATAATCCAGATGACTCCCGAAGTATTACGTCCAACATCAAATGTATTACGTTCTAAATGGAAACATTTCCCCAATTTCATACCGGTATGCATAATCATTCGTGTGTATGGGAAGGGGGTGGTGGGTTTGGGGGTTGTATCTTTCTTTTGATATACATGTAAAAATAGTCTAAATTGTATGCTAAAATTTATAGCTAAAAACTAAGAGGTCCGTTCTCTGCTAATCTATTTAATTTTGATCCTGTACTCCCGAAAACAATAGATTAAGTGTTTGCATCACACGTCAATTACAATCATTGAAATAATTCTTTTAAACTTATGGATTAGTGACTTTGCACAGAGATTTTAAAGTGACCATAACACTTGTTTCAAATGCCTTGTATAAACACATCCCTTTTAATTCCGTTTTTTGGTCTGTGAACGGTGCCAAAAATGTTTATCTTTGGGTTGTAATGTAAAGATAATTCGATCATTTAATCAACGACTGCATTCAATAGACAGGTTCTTTTTTAAAACCTGTGTATATTTTGATATCAAATAGTTATGTATTGAGTTTACTTCTAAGCAGACACATTATTTGCGGGTGACGATAAGGTCCGCTCGATTCAGAGCAACCATGGACAGTCTTGCTGTCTCTGGCAATGCTGTGGCTATCAGGTAGGAAATCTATGTGTCCTTGTTACGCTTTCATCTTGTGATAAAAGAAATATACAGGTAACATTCCTGTAACTTTGAGATCAAGTAAAGACTCAGGCCATGTCATTGTCATTCACATTTTGTGAGGGGTTCTTTTAATTACTAGTGTCTCAATTCTTTGTATTGATTTCAGCATTTTAAACCTTTATATTACATTGGTATCGAATTCTAATAGATGTCAAGTTATTGTTCATGGTTACATGAACAATGCCGTTCAATGACACTATTGGAAATTCATGTAGCGGTTGTTATACTGTTTGCTTTTCTGCGGTATTTGGTGGTTTTTCAAAAACTCCATTTCGCTAAAGAAAATCCGCGATAAAATCCAACAAATTCTGATATTAAAATTTGCAGTGCTTTAATGTTTGGTTATCTTATGCATAATACATCAAAGCAGAAATTCTTTTGTTTAGAAGATTGCTTTCATTTTTGAAGTTTTTACTTCGATCTTCATTTCATTACTATTATATTCATAGATCTTATACATGTATTAGAACATATGAAGACAAGGTTCTGGAATTTCTTTCAAATTAAGACCCTCTGCTAAAGTTTTCCATACATTGCAACTTTTGTACTCTTTGAATGTAGCTCTTAATCCCACTTCTTTTGATTGTTGTCCATAAATGAGGCATTTTACAGTGTGGCATTGTTTAAATGTTTGAGAGTTTCGTGAGAATATATGGTTTTGCTTTAAACGCTGATAGCCGAACAAGAGTTTACAGTTACGGGATATAATCTAAAGTTTACAATCGATGTCAAAAGTTTTTACAACTTATTGCCCGTGACATATTGAAGCGAATGTATTTCCTTTTCGGTAGGAAAAAATGACCGTCAAAGGGACAATTTAAGAAGAAATTCTCTACCAGGAAATAGGAATCAAAAACCAAATGATTACTGCGTGTTTTTCTGTGTCGCTCAATTTATTGAGGATTTAAGCGCTCTTAGTGCCAGCTTTTGCAAGAGGTTCTGGAATGTTAACGTGACGACCATATGTTAGAGAATTGAAATGGGTCTTGTGTTTTAAGCAAATGAAGGAAAAATAAATTAAAACCTTTGGAGTACCAGCCTATCACGTTTGATCCTTAATCAAATAGATGGAGATCGACATAAAAATCTTATCTTTGAATAAACAATCGACATGTCATGTACCCAACCATTTATATTTTATATCTCTTTAATGTGCAGTATGCTTGATCGCCAATTTCAAATAATTGGTAGTGGTCCTGTTATTTTAGTAGATAACGCCGTTTAAATTCAAGTGTAAATATTGCTGTTGAGATTTTTTCAAGAGTTTCAGGCGTCTCCTAAAAGGGATATTAACTTATTATAAAGTCACTGATCACTTTATTGCTCTGAGTGACGTTACATATTTTGAAGATCCAAATTCCATTGTCCAGAAACAGACCTAATCTTATGACCGTTTGGACAAAAACTGGGAACTCATTTAGGCCATGTACTGAAAGCATTGGAGTAATTTATCACACTATTCATATAAACATAACTCGGTTGTGACTGGTCGCCTTTAACTTTATGATAGGATATCATGTTAGTGTTAGTTTGGAAAGGTTTTCCGATTGTGAAGACATTTATGAAATTCTTATGAATCACTTGGTAATATGACAGCACGGAGGAAAAAATGCAATTTTTGTTTGCTCTCTGCTCGCATAACGCCGCGAGAGTCCAGGTAAGAAATTTTGTTTCCTTTCATGCATCCATTGTTGGATGTTTGGAGGTCTTATAGAAGCTTCGAGGAAAACATTGGTAAACCTAAGAATAACGAATAATGCCTATTGGAAGTACTGCATTTATACCCGTGGGTTTGGTCAAACAAATATAATTTCCTTATTTTAATTTTTCTTTGCGGATTTGTGAATGCTATTGTTGGTTCGTTGGGATTAAATCTGAACACAATTATGCACATTTCTCGATCTGAATAATGAAAGTAATTTTTGTGTAAGACGTTTTCTTAAAATACATTCTGCATTTTTTAATTTATTTTTTTTTTTATGTCGTCTCGAGCTCATTTGACTTTATATGAGAGTCTCCTACCTGGTATAGGTCACTTTGATGAAAAACCTGTCTCAAATGGTTATCGTCCACATAAATTGTAGAGGAGAAAGTCATTCTGTTCTCAAACACTGGTATCTGGCCTTGTCAATGGTTTATCTGATATGATTTATTACCCGTGTCACATTCTCATTCACAACTCTTGAAACAGTATGAATTTTTAATGATTTGCAAATGGTGGACAGAAGACAAAAGATATTTTCCTGGAGTGTTTGGTTTACTTCGCTTAAATGTGACTGTTGTTTTATCTTTTTTCAGGGCAATGGACAGCAGCAGTGATGGATTCGATCTTCCAGAAGATGCCATAGACAAAGTTGCCAAAGCCAATTCCGTGAGGACGGAATCTGCTCAAATTCTTCCAGAGGTACGAGCCTCACCCTGTGCTATTCATTTCAAAAAGGACAAAAGAAATGATTTACTTTTTCACAGTAATTATCACGCTGGACAACATTCGCCAAGTACTGTGAGGAAATCTAAACTGATAAAAGACGGAAAGAAACAGAGGGGCCCTGAGAATCCCGAGCGCAGGCAACCCCCACCTTTGTTGAATACCTTACCGAGGGGCATGCCCTCCAAAGAGTTTGTCATGACCTGGTTAATGCATGGGTCAGAACCTAGTGGGAAAAGCCATTTCCCAGACATTGTTATTCCAGACGGAAGACCTAAGAGATCAAAAGGAAGAGAATCCCTGCGGAAATCTACTATTAGTGAATAATCAGACTCTTTCGAGTGATTTTAAGAATCATACAAATCATTTAAAAACAAAGATTCAGTTTCTAGTCAATATTAGTTGGAATATGATGTGCTCTGATTCAATGAAGAATCTATTTACTGCATTTGTTTCACAGCAAGTATTGTGACCGTAAAAGGATGTTTTGTGATATTGTGCTACAGCTGTATGTAACTACTACACTGTAATACATGTAGTATGCGTGTTTATCATTGAACAGGTGCGTGGATCATAAATCTTATTTCAGTGTCATGGCATTATTTACTTACATACATAAAATGTATTTATTTTAACAAGTCTGACATGAATGATACTGTGAGTTTGTTATAGTATTATTATTAAAGTTAATATGATTAGTTTTCCGTCGTTATATAAGGTATATGCTCAGCTTTACAAGAATACTAGCAGCATGCTGAAGGGGTACATGTACTTTAATTTTTGAATACTAGCACTTTGAATATTTATTATTTATTTATGTATTCTTGTTACTGAGTTCAGTTTTAACTCGTGTGCATTTCCATCAGAGGTAACTTTCTACAATTTTTCTTCCCCATCGCAACTACTTGAATTGTTTCAGGAAAAGTTGGCACAAATGCCTCACGAGTAAAGAGGATTTACGTTTATACGAACGAAGGACAGGACCTGGTCGAATCCAGAGAAAGAAAGAAAGGAAAAGTGAGGCAATCTAAAACCACATGGTCAGAAAAGTCAACGTTATACGTAGTAGTAATTTAATTAATAGACAGAGGCTAATCATTAAAGCGGATAACTTACCGTAGGTACATGGTTATGGTCGATGATTAAGGGTGCCTCTTCCAAAATTGTGAAATTTGTGGCCCCAGGGTGAGGGGTTCTGCGGGAAGGGGGGCTCTATTGATTATATAGTGAAAGTGCATTATTTCTTTGAAAATTCTCTTCTCTGCTCCTAGATAAACCAAGTATATAGTTATGATGAGCAAGGGCGCCTCTTCCAAAATTGTGAATGTCTTGGCTCCTGGGTCAGGGATTCTGGTGTTAGGGCAGGGCTCTATTAATTATATAGTGAAAATGCATTAATTCTTTCAAAAATCTTCTTTTCTGCCCTTGGGTATTTAGCAGATAAACCAAGTATATAGTTATGATGAGCAAGAGCAACTCTTCCAAATTGTGAATATCTTGACCCCTGTGCTAGGAGTTCTGGTGTTAGGCGGGCACTCTATAGTGAAACTGCATTAATTCTTTGAAAATCTTCTCTGCTCCTAGGTATTTAGCAGATAAACTAAGTGCATGATTATGATGATCAAGGATGCCTCTTCCAAAATTGTGAAATTTGTGGCCCCAGGATCAGGGGTTCATGTTTTGGAGGTGGTCTATTTAATATATGTATGGTGGAAATGCACTTTTTAAAAAAAAATCTTCTTCTAGGTACTTAACAATAAAACTAATTGCATGGCTATGACGAGCAAGGAAATCTTTTCAAAAAGTTTTAAATTCATAACCCCGGGGATTTTGGTGTTAGGGTGAGGCTCTTTTGAATATACAGTAGAAATACATTATTTCTTTGAAAATCTTCTCTGCCCAAGGAAACATACTAAGTGCATGGTTATGGTGAGCAAGAATGCCTCTTCCAAAATTGTGAATATCTTGGCCCCTGGGTTAGGGACTTTGGTATTAGGGTGGGGCTATATTGAATCTATAGTGAAAATGGATTACTTCCTAGAAAGTCTTCTCTGCTCCTGGGCAAATAGAGTATATAAAGTTGTGATAAGCAAGGGTGTTTTACCAGATTTTGAAATTCTGTACCCTTGGTCAATTCATTAATTTCTACTGAAAGAAGTAATTCCCCTTTGCTATTCACCATAATAGCTAATCACTGTGAATAATGTAACTTAAAGGTCAATTGAATAACAGAATTATACAAGAAATTTTATAAAATTTAATACAAAGGTACTTTCATAGTTTTTTAATGGTCAGGTAAACTTTTAAATAATAGATAAATGAAAATGGGACAAAAATACTGTATCTTTGTACAATAAATAATCTTCAGAGACTAAAAGAGGTTAATGCGAGTGCGAAGGATTGATTGGTTGATTGTATGTTGTTTTACGTCCCGTTCAAGAATTTTTCACTCATATAGAGACGTCACCATATACTGGTTAAGGGCTTCTTTAGACCTTTACTCGGCACTCAGGGATATTGAGCAGTGAGATCGTGCCAACGTCTACCGTGACACGTGGCCTTGGTTTTTAAGGTCTTATCTGAAGGACCCGCAACCTTCACAGTGCCGAGCGCTTGGCGAAGGAACAGTTGCTACCTATTTTTTATCGACTTAGGTCAGTCGCGGCCGTGATTCGAACACACGACCTTCCCCGATTACGGAGCGAGCGCTCTACCTACTGAGCTACCGTGATGGCTACACGAGAAGAAAACTCTTTTTCTGTGGCCTTCAACTCAACATATCGACGACGTTTTATCAATTAAAAACAGTTACTTTCATTCATATATCGACTCGATATAACCCCGTGAACTCGAAATAAAGACACTACAGAGTCTGCCACATCTGTTTCATATTTGGATGTTTTACGGACGATAGACGATAATGGCCAATTAATAAGTAAATTGTATGAGAAACGATCGAGATGACTTCACCTTTTCAATCGTCAACTTTCCTTATGTAGTAATATTCCAACATCGCCTGCATAGTGTGTTTATGTCTCCCAAATGATTCGATACCCAAGAGTACGATCAATTTTTAAGCCGAGGCAAGTCACTGACAAATAAGTTGACATTACAAAGATTTCAACAACCTGTTTAAAGTCAGCTTTTGCAAATTCTATGGTCATTTTAATGACCTTGATTGTAAATACAACCTGTTGTTGGGTCGTTTTTGTCTAACACGTTTCATATCATTTTGTTAGGTCATCGCTTTTATACTAAATTTGACTACAGGGAACTCCTTCTACCTGATCATTATATAGAGCTCACGGTGGGTGTGATCGGTCACAGGGGATGCTTACTCCTTCTAGACACCTGATCCCACCTCTGGTGTTTCCAAGGTCCGTACTTTTGCCCTGTTCACGATTCTCTTTGTTTAGTGGATTTATGGGATTAATCACTGTTCGTTATCTTCACCTTTTACATTGAAAATCTTTTCAAATGATTAAAGATACAGAAATCTTAAATTTTGAGCTATTGCGTGCATTAAGTCACTGTTGAATCGTTAATTAATTTGCTGAATTGATGCACACAATAATTGAATTGTTGTTCTCCTCAAACGAATGTTTTGTTAGATTCATAGTATATATACAATCTCCATGAGTAGAAGAAATTCAAAGACAAAATATATTTTTAAAAGTATTACGACTACTAGTAACTGATGCTTAAACCATGAACCAGGGCCATAAATTTGTTTGGCAGTAAAAACACTTTTGGTTGGCATAATAAGTACTTATCATGTAAACGGGTTGACAGCTATATGTCTGTGAGTAAAGAATAAGATTTTCAAAGGTATAGTTTATTTTAATCTGACCCACTTAGTCCCCTCTGAGGCCTGAACCATTGACCTGGGAGCCTTGAATTTCAGTAAAGGAACTATTTATTATAATCATGGAAACAGTTTGCCTGATAAATGCTCAAAAATAGAGAATTTCAAAATTGTAGTAATGGGACTATTTTTTATAATCGTGGAAACATTTTGCCTGATAAATGCTCAAAAATAGAGAATTTCAAAATCGTAATCAAGGGACTATTTATTATAATCATGGAAACAGTTTGCCTGATAAATGTTCAAGGATATAGAGAGGTACATTTTCAAAGAATTTAATTTATGTTCAATATACATGTACATTGTACAGTAGTTTCTATATCATATCATATATATATATTCTTATATTGGTTGTATTCTTCTTCTTTATTATTCCCACCTCTCTTATTAGCTCAATCTTGATCACATGATCAAGTATGTAACAGCATCACATGATCAAGTATGTAACAGCATACCAAAAATGTATATTAGGAAAGCCCACTAGTATCAAGTGAAAAAAATTACAACCTTATGAATATGAGAATATTACAATATGAAGTAGTATACTGACTTCATACTTGTAAACATTATAAAAATCTGTGAAACAACAATAGTGATGATTTCACAATACATGTAGTTAATATCACTATGCTTTTAAACAAAGATACTTTCACACCTATTTGCAATTGAGATATAATAGTAGATATAATATTGCATAACCATATCATGAATATGGATATACTCTATATTGTAAATACATGTATTGATTGTTCATAAATTGATACAAAAAATATTACAACAAATATTGTCATTCCCTTAATTCTATCCACGAGGTCAATTCATAGATTTATCGACTTCACAGAAAATGCATATCGAACTCCCACTTCGTGCTCGGTAGCTGTGCTTTCCTGTGAAGTTGATATTTCTATGGTCGACCTTATGAAAGGGCAATATTTAAAGTGTACAATGTATGAGTTTCGGGATATGTGCAATGATTTCTGTATTTAGTATGTGAGTTTGTGGGAGCACACCTAGAAATTCTAAGCATTTTCGTCCAGTTTAGATTTAAGATGAACTCAATAAAAGCGTGATTATACATCCCCCAGCCCACCCCTGGGCGTGAGATCAAGTGTCGCGAGGCAATATTAATATCAGCAGTTTTGAGGGATGGATTCTAAATATAACAGGTTTCAAATAAAAACTTGGAATCCTAGAGTTCAACTAGGAAAACAATTAAACACCCTTTTACCTTTTCTTTGGGTGGGTGGGAGTAGGGGGTGAGTATCCATATTATGTATGCTCAAAAATTAAAATAAATAAATAAATAGTATAAATACATGTAAATAAATAAAACATAGTGATGAATAAAAATAAAATTTGAAGAATCGAAACTGCGATCCTTTTCTTCTGATGTTAGAAAGCAAAGTATAGGATTTATGGAGAAAGACAATTTTGGTAAGACGAAGTACACATGTAATGTGGAGAAGAAAATAGTTTTCGGAGATATCATCGGTGCATAAGATATATTTTTTTTATTTGAGTTTTGGGATGTTTTTTAAAATGAGTTAAAAATAATTAGTAAATGCAAATAAAATATACAATAAATGCAGAGGCACTACTGTTTATTATAAAAGTATTTGTGGAAAACTTGCAAACCCGGAGTGTATTCTAGAGTATGGAAAGAATACGGCAAAAATTCTGAAAAAAAGGAAAATAAATTCCGCATGCAAAATAGAAGAATTGCGGCAGCAAAATAAGAATCAAATCAGGGGAAATAAATGCTATTTATTGTATCTGAAAAAATAAAAATTTTATTTCTCTGTTCATCTGTTAAGAAATTT